GGGGGGGGGGGGACTCTGTCTTGATTTTGAACTCCCCTACCTAGTCCCAGTGTGTGACAATTCACGTGGCCCTCTTTGGCCCCTGCTGCACAGGCAATCACTCCCACATTTACCCGTCTTCTATCCGGCCTTTACCCCATTACTTCGGCCCACCGATATTAGTTCTACTCCCAGCATCAATTCAACTTCCCCAGCTTCACTTCTGCTCCTCTCCCATGCCCGGGAGGGCGGTGCAGTGGGATCTCTTCTCCCTCTTCAAGGCTGTGGGGGCAGCTCCCACAGCTCTTCACTCTACTCTACCCCTTCCCAGGCTAAATGCTGCAGGGAAGGGGAGGGAGAGGGAGAGCGACAGAGTAGAAGGACCAGTTGGTCAAAGGAGGAGGGAAGGAAGGAAGGAAGGAAGGAGAGTCACCCTGAGCTGGCTGGGCTTTTTCTTCTCCCTCCCTGCTCATGTGAGAATACTTTGGGTTGCTATAGGGAGGCAGAGAGCTCTGTCTGCAGCATCTCTGACTTGTTACTCTGCCCTAAGAGGCCAACAATCCATCAGAGGGCTGGAGCTTCTTGGGTCATTGCAAGAATGGCTCCAGCTCCATCCAAAAGCATGTCACTGGTGTAAAAATTCAAAGAGTTGGCAAGGATGTGTACTTAACTTTAAACCTGGGTTTAAGTTGCATTAAAGGTAATGGGAATTAAGCACATAGCTAAAATAAAGCAGATGTTTAAATGTTTTGTTGAACTGGGATAGAATGCTGAATTGGGGGCCTTTATGCATGCAAGTATCTATCTATTTTCCATGCAATATTATCTGAGTTGATCAAAGAAATTAAGATTTAGCGCACATAATTGTGTGCATGCCTGTTTTTATGGTCATCAAGTACTTGTTTTGAAACTATATCCATTAGAGTCACTTAAGAGTTCACAATGTACAAAACAAATTACGTTTTGGTAATGCTCACTTTCTTTCTAGTACTCTGGAATGCTGTCTGGCCAAACCAAATAGCAGTTATGTCAAATGGTGATAATAAATAGTGATGATGGGTGTCTTCAGTTGCGATGACACTTAAAATTAGTGCTATATTACTGACTAAAGTACAAAGAAAGATACTGACTCCATGTTCCCTTTTTAATATTCTGTTCCCAAATACAGTGAACTTCTATGTAAGTTTTACTTCAACTTGCCTTACTTGGTGGACAACACCACTTATTAGCAAGCAAGTGCAAGTCTCATGCTAAAAAACTTGTTTGTAAATACTTTTTATTGTTTGTGCAACAATCTATTTTATTGGGGGGAGGGCAGATTACTATTACTTGTATATCGGGCTTATAATTTTAGGTTTTAACTGATAAACATTGAAAGACACCCTGAAACAAAAGCTCCCACCAAAATCGATATTTATCCAATAAACACCAGAAAAACACAGGAAATCATTACTTGTATCTAAGGGCTGGTCTCCATGGAGCAGTAATGTGAACTAGGGGAGTATGATTTCTAAAGCACACTAACATATTACTCATTAATTGGTCTATGTAGACCCTGCTAGACACTAAAGGTTCCCTAGTGCACTTTAACATACCGCTGTTTGAAATAGTACATGCTAAACCACACTAGGGAACATTACAAAGAGATTACTTATTACAATATATACAGAGAAAGCCCCCGAACTCCCTGATTTTTGGACATTTACCAAAAAAACCCTCAAAAATTGCTAAAAATAACCCCTGAAAAATGAAATTAATAAACCCTGAAAAACAGAAGCTTTATTTATATAGCAGCAAAAAGCGTGCTAGGCTCTTCACAGGTATACAGAAAGGTTGCTTTCTAAACAACTTAAATTGCAAACCTATAGTCATGACTAATACCAATGTTCAGTTCTTTTCAGCTTTAGGTCACAAAGCTTTTTGTAAAGATGGGCAAGTATCACAGTGTCCTACAGGCTTTTGTATGTTACTATACATGTCAATCTCCCTGGACATTTTAAAAAGTATTTAAAAGTAGCCATCCTTCAACAAAAAAAACTTCAAAAACAGGCTTCAAAGAGAAACTGCAGAGTTACAATTCATTTGCAAACTTAACACCATTAATTTGGGCTTGAATAGGGACTGGGTGTGGCTGGCTCACTACAAAAGCAATTTTCCCTCTCTTGGTATTGACACCTCCTCATCAATTATTGGGAGTGGACAACATCCACCCTGACTGAATTGACCTTGTCATCACTGCTTCTCCACTTGTAAGATAACTCCCTTCTCTTCATGTGCCATTATATATATGCCTGTATCTGTAATTTTCACTCCATGCATCTGAAGAAGTGGGTTTTTTACCGACGAAAGCTTATGCTCAAATAAATCTGTTAGTCTTTAAGGTGCCACCAGACTCCTCGTTGTTTTTGAGCCAAGAATGAAACCCAAGTCTCCTGATATTCAGATTAGGGCCCTATCCATTGGACCACATCATCTCCTGTTGACTTAAATGGGACTACTCAAGTGAGTAATACTCTTCAGGATCAGTCCGAAGCGAGACAACTTATGAATGAATACAATGTTAAGAGGTTTTCTATCACACTGTATTCAACTCCAAACCTAATTTCTACTTTTAATTGTTCTTAACCTCCACCTATTTAACCTTCTCTTTGCATTAAACCTCTAACTATTTTCTCCTCTCTTTTTGGGTTTTTTGACTGCCTCTTTTTATTTATTTTTTGTTATTTTTCATCCCTATTCTGTTTTCACTTTTTTATGGTTTTTAATCTTTGCTTATTTTCACTTGATTTTATTTCTCTCTTTTCTGTTGTCTCTTGTCTGTTTCCTCCAGTTTGTTTATAAACTTTCTATCCTCTCCAATTATACTATTTAAACTCCAATTGAGTATCACCCCATCTGCAATTGTTGGTCTTAACCTTCCCTTTCCATGCTGATCCTTAGATTTCTTACCCAAGCCCCATACAACAGTCACAGCCTCTGATTCTTTGCTGCATTCCAGAAACTTTGTACTATTCCTATTGCATAAAGGGGCAAGAAAGCATCCCAGCACTCTCCAGCTGGGAATTCCACCCATCACAAAGGGTTCTCCTAAGTGGCACAGGACTAGCATAATGGCCTTACAGCAGGGGTGGGCAAACTACGGCCCAGGGGCTGCATCTGGCCCTTCAGATGTTTTAATCCGGCCCTTGAGCTGCTGCTGGGGAGAGGGGTCCAGGGCTTGCCCTGCTCCGGCGCTCCAGTCGGGGGCTGGCTCAGCGCAGCTCCCGGAAGCAGCAGCATGTCACCCCTCTGGGTCCTATGTGTAGGGGCAGCCAGGGGGCTCCGCACACTGCCTCCTTCCCAAGCACCGCCCCCGCAGCTCCCATTGGCCGGGAACCATGGCCAATGGGAGCTGCAGGGGCGGTGCCTGCGGACAGGGCAGTGCACCAAGCCTTCTGGCTGCGCTTCCAGGAGCTGCTTGAGGTAAGAGCCGCCTGAAGCCGGAGAGGGAACATGCCGCTGCTTCCAGGAGCTGCTTGAGGTAAGAGCCGCCTGAAGCCTGCACTCCTGATCCCCTCCCACCTCCCAACCCATTGCCCCAGCCCTGATCCCCCTCCCACCCTCCAAACCCCTTGGTCCCAGCACCCTTCTGCACCCCCAACCCCCTCATCTCCAGCCCCAACCCAGAGCCCGTATGCCCAGCCGGAACTCTCACCCCCCCCGACGCACTCCAACCTCCTGCCGCAGCCTGGAGCCCCCTCTCGCACCCTGAACTCCTCATTTCTGGCCCCAACCCAGAGCCCACACCCTCAGCCAGAGCCCTCACCCCCTCCCAGACCCCAACCCCTAATTTTGTGAGCATTCATGGCCCGCCATACAATTTCCATACCCAGATGTGGCCCTCAGGCCAAAAAGTTTGCCCACCCCTGCCTTACAGTATCACTCTTCCCCTTCCCCAGTGTAGGGGCAAGCTCTGTGTGTGGGAGGAAGCACAGAGAGACTGCTCGGTGCTCCAGCTATTTTGAGCTGCCAGAGTAGCCCATTGGTGGGTGTGGAAATCTATTATAAATTGGAATAGCCCCTGAGGCTGCTTAAAGTTACACCAGGGCCAGCGTAGGCACTCTGCAACTCTCAAATTCTGGGCTTGGCTAAGGACTCCCAGGTGTACATTTTCTGACCAGCTCACAATTGGGGCCAAAAAGTTACTCTTAAACCCATTATTATGTTAACTAATTTATAGAGGAAGATCCTATTGTTGTTAAAGTGGATTTACCTCTATTCAATTTAGCCCATATACAATACCAGGATGAGGTGGGTCTGAGCAATTATTCTTTCACAGATAGAGTCAGAGTACTGAAAGGACGTAGGTATAGTTTTCCTTTTTCTCTTGCCTTCTTTTTCTCACACATGCACTGTAAAGTGTTACCTCCAAAGCAGTTCACTGTTAAGTAGTTACAATTGCTTCCCCCAGAACCAGTTATACTGGTATTGTTCTATGGGCTGGCCATAAATGGCAGTTTAAAAACCATTAACACTTTTGTCCCACACACAGACCAAGCATTTCCTTTATCCCGTGAACTAATTCTTAATTGTTTACAGGGTTGGTGTAGCTGCCTTAGTTCCAGGATATTAAAAAGACAAGGTGAGTGAGGTAATATCGTCTATTGGACCAACTTCTATTGGTGAAAGGAGGATGATTTCAAACTTGTAAGTGGGAAAGCTTGTCTTTCACCAACAGAAGTTGGTCCAATAAAAAGTTATCATCTCACCCATCTTGTCTTCCTAATTCTTAATTACCTTTCAGAGGAAAAATACACAGCAGCTACTCATGGCAATGACACCTTGACATCAATTTGAGCAAGGATAAAATTGCTGAGAGTTGACATACCCCTCCAGAATTACCTCTTAAACATCAGTAGATCATTTGAGTCATTAGCAGATATCTTGTCTCCCAAATGAGCAGTTAATAACATAATTTTAAGAAGTATAGCTTGTGACACATGCAAACCTAAAAACAAAATCAAGTGAAAAATAAAACTTGCTTTGAATATCAGGAGATGTCGTTTTGGCAGCCGAGCAGGGCAAGAGCTTCATAAGCCGCTCTTTAATGCTGCGTTTGGTACTGTTCTGAGCGTAGAGGAAACCTAGAAGATACATTATCAGGACTGTTAACATGGCCTTAAGTACAGCTTATGTGCATGCTGCAAAACTCATCATGCCAAAATTCTGATGGGTAAAAGGGACAGGCAGCAGTGAGAGAATTCCAGCTTGCAAAAGGCAATCAGAAACATTGAAGAGGACAACAAAATTGCTTGTCTTTGCATATTTTCTATCGGGGCATTTTCCTGTGTGTGCCCCTCTTTAAAAGTGCTTATCTAGCATAATAAGGTGCAAAATGTAGACACTAACTCATGTCTTTAAAAGAGAACAAGAACTGTGGGTATTTTTAAAGATTTAAGTTACAAAATATTTACAAGCACTTCACTTTATTGTAATTATTTTAATTGACATGTGATTCAAATATGAAAATAAAACTGTTTTGTTGTCCCACATGAAGGTTCTCCAGCTCCATAAATGAATTTGCATCAAATGTTTGGACCATATCATTCATTTAGCAACTGTGATCACCAGCTGGCACTTTTGCCTTTCCTGAAAATTACAATGCTACTCGATACCCAGCCATTCCTCCGTTCTCTGTCCTTTGACATATAAATAATTATAACTACCCATTATACATTGTTTATATATAAATGGCAAGAAATGAGGATATGGCTGTTTAGTCAAAGTAAGTGTTAAAAAATGAGGAAGATTATTACTGACACGAATGTTAGCCTGCATTAGTGGAAAAGGAGTGGCCATAGTAGATGCCTGTGACTTCAAACCCCTTGGGTACATGTTAAACAAAATGTACGACACACACAGACAATCTCCTAGACTGATGTTTAAGGCAAGAGACAGAGTTAATCACTGGAAATCAGATAACTGATTCATCTTCCTGAGCAAGGTAGTGTTCAATCTGGGTATTATGAAATTCCCACACTTGTCATCTCTACCACATACAGCACTACTCAGGGCAGCACTTTTCCTGAGAGTTCCTGCTCTGGTAGCAGGGGTGAAGAATGAGTGGGGAAGGAATGAGGTGTGGTAGAGCCCACGGATGGTTCTGGCAACAGCTTCTACATCCTAGTGACCTGGATAATTTTGGGGTGTTCCAGCTGGGGTTCTGTGCTTGTGCTGAACGTTTGAGTGGAAAGTGTTATGAAGAAAAGCCATGCAATTTCCTCTCATCTCCTGAATGACTAGATCCCAGACTGTCCATCCTACCACCGCCAGCAAGCGGAAACAGTCTGTGGAGCCTGCAGTGCTATCTGGGAAAATGAAAGTATTTTTAAAGGTTGATCTTTTAAAAAGATCTTAAAAATTAAAAACATAGAAAAAAGTTGGGAAAATGTTTTTAAAATGTTGAAAGAAGTGAGGAAAGAAGGAAAGGCTTTGGCGGGGGGTGGGGGTGGGGAGGAGGAAGGGAGAGAGAAGGCAGAAGATGTGAGAGTCAGTCCTGAAGGGAAAGCAGATAGGGGAGAAAATTTGAGGCAATGTCAGCTTTCGAGAGTGGCTAGGAGGGCCCAGTTTCAGCACAGGACCAAGGAAATCTGAATTAACTCTTGGGGAATCTATTTTGAAAAACTGTTTAACAACAATGAATGTATTATTATTTGTATTACTGTAGTGCCCAGTGGCTCCACTCAGGATAGGGACCCCACTATGCTAGGCACTGCACAAACCCATCGTAACAGACAGTCCCTGCCTCAAGGAATAGCTCAAGCTTCAAAGACTACTTTGAATATAAAACTGACCCATGAAATTCAGGTTGTCTTTTGACTGGCGGCGTAGCTAGGCTGTCTAACAACTGCATCGTGAGCTAGATATAGATCTAGCTTGCTGAAGAGTCTTGTTCAATCTTTTTTATTTTGTTTTGTGTTACTAATTCTTGAAACAATGCATTCCAATGAAACTTAATCCTAACTCATCAACTTTGTTACTATTTACTTCCAATATAGTTCTGCAGACGTGCATTGTATTTTACAAAACCAATAAAAGATGTATTCCTTCTCCTAAAGGGTTTGCAATCCAAGATGCTGGATTGGCTACCCTTGTGCCCATAGAATTCAGTGGAGTCCCAGTGGGCTTAAATGTAGCTCATCTACTTGCATCATTGAGGCCAAAGGTAAGCTGAGAAAAACTGGAAGCGATGACAACACGAGAAGGGGTAAACAAGAGGTAGGACGGCATAATTTTGTTCTCAAGTTGAAGACTACTGCATATATCTTGAGGGTTACAAAGAATGTTTTTGTTTATAAAGATTTTACACTAAGAATGGGTATAAGGTAAAGGGGCTGGCCAATCTTCTCATAGCACAGTGAATCAGCAAGCAAGCTTATACCTTCTGGTGGCTGCAATGAGTTCATCCTGGGACCATACAGGCATCTGTGATGCTACAGCCACCCAGTACAACCCTCACAATTTCCAAGGAGTCTCAGCTCACATGTTGTGAATGCTTAACCTGAATGATTACTTCCCTGAAGCATTGAAATGACATATGGAACAGTTTTCATGAAGAAGCGCAAGTCCATACCCTCAGAGTGGGGGATGGGGACTGTACATACAGGAAAATTTAGGTGTCCAGCTCCATAACTAGAGGTCACTGAGGATGAAGACTAAAAATGGGGATGAGGTGAGAAGTTATTTGTGACAGTAAAAGTTGTATATGTGTGAGCACTTACTCCTGCATATAATGACTGTAGAGTATATTATACCATCATAATCACAGCATTTGCATTATTATAATGAAAGACTATGTCAGCACATTATAAATCTTTATTTTCAACCAAAATGTTCAGCCATGTTAAATTTAAATGATTATTAAAAAACTAACTGCATGTTTGCACTCAAATTCTGAAATTACATCAATTTTATGTTGACGTTCAATAAGTCATTATAATGGACAATATGGTAACCACTTTTAGTATTGTAAAGGAAAATGTAAAGTGTCTAAGTTAGTAAATTTTTAGAAGTGAATTTAGTGCTGATACAAGTTGACAGAGTGGCCATTATTTATCCACAGAATACAGTACAAGTTCCTCTCACTGCCCAGCCAATGTGTCTCAAACATAACCCGTAGGAATCTAGAAGAGGACAGAGCAAGGTTGTACACTGTCCTACCATGTGCCCCAACTCTGCTTTGAAAAGCACAGTAGAATCACTATGAGTTGGATTATAAAACTCACTCATTCACCTTACTTGATGAGTAGCTCCATTGATTTCAATGGATCTGGTCATAGAGTAAAGTACTATTCAAAACAAAAAAGAAAATGACAATCTGGCCATATGCATGCTCAGTTATTTTATCTCTGCTGAGACTGTGGGTGGAAAAAACAGTTAAGGCCAAATATTGTAGTATTTTGTTGTGAAATACTGTAGATATCTGCCCACTGCGAAATAGGCTGGGAAAACTGAAATGCTAGTAGATAACATTTGGTTATTACCAACATGAGACCGATTAAAACTGGTAATCTAAGGTGAAAGGCTCCATATCTCATTACAAGCTCTCATAGCCAATTCTCAAACTATTCTTTGTAGAATGCTGATAGTCCAGGAAGCACTATTAAGTAGATAAAGAAGCTGCTTCCGCCACAGTGCTGGAACATAATAATAGTAGCATATCTATAATGATTTATAGGCCTGATTTTCTCAACTCTTCTTGGTTTGGTTTATTTAAGGGCTTATCTTCAATGCAAAGTTAACTTGGGTCTTGCTCAGGTGTTGCCCCAACCTGGCTCCCATCTATACACAAACCCTCTGGCCTGACTGTGGTGCAGATTTATACACAATTCCTTCCATGTGTCCAGGACAGACAACTTCTTCCACAATTCACTGGGAAAGAATCAGCTTCCTGCAGCACTAGAGAACCATATGACTCCAGAAGTCCTAATGCCTGACAGCAGTAAGTACAATACCAAGGTGGACTCATTAACTCGAATGGCTTTGCGGTGTGGTTGGTCAGACCCAAGCAAGGCTAACCCAGGTGCTGATCACACAGCTTAACTTTACTATAAAGACATATCCCAAGAGTGGCTTTTGTTATATACTATAAATCATATTCTGTTATAATGTCATAACTCCAGAGGTCAATGGAGTTATTCCAGATTTACACTGTATAAGAGCAGAATTTGGCCCTGTGATTATAAGTAGAGCTGTTGATTAATCGCAGTTAACTCACGTGATTAACTAAAAAAAAATTAATCAAGATTAAAAAATTAGTCGCAATTAATCACAGTTTTAAGCACACTGTTAAACAATAGAATACCAATTGAAATTTATTAAATATTTTTGGAAATTTTTCTACATTTTCAAAAATATTGATTTAAATTACAACCGTATACAAAGTAGACAGTGCTCACTTTATAATGTATTTTTTTATTATAAATATTTGCACTGTAAAAATGGCAAACAAAAGAAATAGTATTTTTTCAATTCACCTCATACAAGTACTGTAGTGCAATCTCTTTATGGTGAAAGTGCAACCTACAAATGTAGATTTTTTTGTTACAATAGTTTTACATTGTTTTGTTTTGAATGCAGTTAAGAGCCTACAAGTCCACTCAGTCTTACTTCTTGTTCAGCCAATCGCTAAGACAAACAAGTTAGTTTACATTTACGGGAGATAATGCTGCCCGCTTCTTATTTAGAATGTCACTTGAAAGTGAGAATAGGCTTTCGCATGGCACTTTTGTAGCTGGCATTGCAAGGTATTCACATGCCAGATATGCTAAACATTCGTATACCCCTTCATGCTTCGGCCACCATTCCAGAGGACATGCTTCCATGCTGATGATGCTCGTTAAAAAATAATGCATTAATTAAATTTGTGGCTGAACTCCTTGGGGGAGAATTGTATGTCTCTTACTCTGTTTTACCCGCATTCTGCCATATCTTTCATGTTATAGCAGCCTCGGATGATGACCCAGCACGTTTGATTTCTAAAGATAGCTACAGCACTCGACCCAAGGTTTAAGAATCTGAAGTGCCTTCCAAAATCTGAGAGGGACACGGTGTAGAGCATGCGTTCAGGAGTCTTAAAAGAGCA